AGTGGGATTTCTTATAAGCAGAAAGAGGAAATCAGCGTGGACAATAGCAATACTTTTATAAAATCCTTTCTGGTGTTCAGCTTACCAAAATTTTGTTTTCCTGAAGGTTAGAAGTCTAGTCTAAACGAGTCATCTAAACCTCTCTAACTGGTGACCAGGGATATGGGTTTGCAGAGAGTATATTTCACCCAAGATTCTCATCAGAGGAACTGAAGGTAGCACCAGCCTGTGCATTCAGCTTAGACTAAGCAGGCGACCTTAAATTATCAAAGGTGAAATAAATCCCACCCTCACTTCAGTTTTCCTGATTTCAGACCTGACATCCAAGTGAAGACTGTGAAACAGCACTTGGTAAATTATTAGCAGGCAAGCAAACACTTGGGGATGATCTTCAGAAGGTCATCAACCACCACCTTGTTCCCAAGTGTTTCTAGTGGGATACAATGAAAACCCAAGAGTGAAAATCCAACAGTGCCCAAAAGAAGCTTAAGGTGGGAAGGAAGTGGCAGCTCAGTGTTAACTACTGAGATGGGAAAACCATCTCTCAAGTACTTGAATTCTCCTGAGACCTGACATTTTCAAGACACAGTGGTAAGGATATTACTAAGAATAAAGACAAAATCATAGAATCATAGAATGGTTTGGGTTGGAAAGGACCTTAAAATCATCCAGTTCCAGCCCCTGTGCAATGGGCAAGGACACCTCCAATTAGACCATTAAATCACAGAATGATTATGACATTCAGCATTCAAACACTGTGAGGCCAAGGACTCCTAAGATAAGATAGTATGACTTGTGGGTTTAGTAACATCAAGAAAGGTCAGAATAAAACACTCAAAACACTGTAACAATGGTGAAATTACAAGAACTGACAAATGAAAAGTTGCTCCTGAGGAAAAGGGAAAATTTCAGAGGGACATGAAGAGAAGACAACACACTGAAGGCAAAATGAGTATTAATGACTTGTTCTCCATATTTCTCTTCTTGCAAGAAGTTGAAGCATATAACACTGCAATACTGTTAGATCCATTTTGAATGTAAAACATCCCTGAGAGGTCAATGTAATTACAGCAGCAACCAGTGTGTAAGGAAATCATTTCCCACTATTAGGAAAGAAGGTACCTATTGTGCTGAAACTGCCTCTGCATGAGCCTGTAAACCTGTCAGCACTAGTGCTGTCCCCTGCCTCAAGGGCCAGCACTGCAGTTGCGATTAATGAGTGGGGCAGGCATCTGGCTGCCCTGAGACTTCCTGTGTGGGCTAAAATTAAGTGTTTCTCTCCTCCTTTTTACACTTTTATCAGCAGTAAAATGAAAAAAGTACCATATAGGGTACAGTTCAATCTAACCCCACTGACCTTAGAGGTGACACATGAAAAGAGCCAGATAACCCATGTGAATGTGTGCTCTTTCTTGATTTCAGGATTAATAAAGGCATATAGCACAGTATGTAACATGCTCACTTGGAAAACCAAAAGAACTAGAATAAGTGACCCAGCATATCCTTCTGGTCGTACATTGCTCTGACTTTTCCCAGATTATATCCCCAGGACTGAACACACAACAGAGTCACAAACACAAGCACTTAGTAAAAACAAGGCAGTTCAGACATAGCTTTAGGTTCAGCAGTTTAAACAGTGTTAAAAGCAAATTATTTCACCTCTGTCACAAGCTACTGGTGCTCACAGAAGTTAGCACTGCTCAGCAGATACAAGATACCATGTTAAGCTACAGTATTTTGGTGATGCTTCTTATCTCCTCATGAACAGAATACAAGCAGCTGTTGATACCGAAGTGGTTGGCATAGGGTGTGCATATAATCAAAGGAAAACCATAGAATTATGGCAGTTACCAAGATCCTGTTATTCTTTAGAATGATTTTACCTGCCAAAAAAAAAGGATGTAGTAGAAATATGCAATGTAGTGACAAAGGCAATGTGGGTGATTAAATGCACACATCTTCCTTGTGAACAATAACTAACTTATCCAGCTGTGGTCTAACATAAAGCCTCTGCCTCAGGAAGTTCACGGGTTACAAGTCTCTGAAAACAATGGAATACACAGCAAAAATCGTTATGCATGCCCTTAGGTATCAGCTATGGCTGCTTTCATTGGAACAAGACACTGGGACAGACAGACATTTTGTCTGAAATGATAAAGACACGAGTTTGGTTTTGGCCTAATCTCTGAGGAGCATAAATTAGGCAACAATTGATTAGATTTATGGCAAGGTAGGATTCAGTGCTGAATCCCTGAGTCAAAGCACTGAAATGTGGGCTTGTCATGGTCAAAGGGGGAAGTTTTGCATTTACATTCCATTTTCTTGGTAAAGCTAGTATTTACACTGTTGTTAATACATAAATCTGACTTTTCTGAACTTCAGAAGTTTATCTGGCATGTAAAAATAGCAAATTTATCTGTTCTGATAGTTATACAAAGAAAAATAGATGCACAATAATACACATCTTCTGTGGACAGTCTTGGTCTTGAGTCTCAGGCCAAAAAAAAGACATTAAAAACATTACTGATTACTTTCAATGACTGATACCAGCTGTTCAGCTTGTACAGCTTAAGCTGGGAAAAGACTATGCTACAGAGAAAAAGGTTCTTAGAAACCCTATTTTTCATTCACAATACATTCCATCACTGGTAATATACAGTTATTTAATGCACAATGGGTTCAGTAGAGGTTTTATATTCCTAGCATACCTAAATTAAAGGATAGAAATAGCAATTACAGTACTTTTTTTCTCATTTAGGTTAGCTTATTTATTCTCTTATTTGCAAAGGCTGATTTGAAAAACAAACAGCACAGTTGTCTAAGCTTATCTACTAGGCTTCATTAATGCTGGAATATGCTTTTTGTTTGAAAGTTTCAAGTGAGGGAATGACCATGGAAAGAAATGGAAATACTGACAATATCTAAAACTCAGGTCCTGAATTGCTTTCAAAATACCCCCCAAAAACACCAGCATGACAAAGCCTGTAAAGTTATTATGATAAAAAAGAGCAATTTCACCTACTTCATGAGAATATTGCAGACAAAATTTGGCCTACTTCATTTGGCTGTTTTCAAGAAGTTTATTAAATTAGGCTTAACAAACAGAACAGTGCTGGCACTTAAACAGAAGAATGTTGCTTTCTAAAGCACTAGCAAAATTTCTTATCATACCTAAATGGCCACACACAGGGGAATTTTGCAGAAGCTTTCTATTTTAATAAGGCAATTCTGCTTCACTCTAGAGTTAAGCTGTGTGATCAAACAAGTATTACCTGAGCCAGAGTTGCCACTTTTTCTGCATACTTTCAATTGACTGAAAAGCTAAAGCAACACACCTGTTCAGTCCTCAAGAGAGTGCTATACAAATGCATTTTATGTTTCATTTGTGATAAACAGAAAACTTGCAGACTAGCAAAACTGGTGATAATTCTAGCACTACTTCATGAGTCGTCCTGCAAGCACCTGCTCTACCCTGGAGAGCTGACCAAAGTGCCGTGCTGAACCATGCTGGCCCTCAGCTCTGAGATTACAAAAAGTGTAGGTCCCTCCAACTGTTATGACTTTGGGGTGCAGTTTGGAAATAAATAATATTTGGGACTAATATTTTGAGGGAGAGAGAGCGTAGTGGCGGTGGTGGTAATTTTGTTCTAAAATAGAAGCTGTAATCACAAAAAAACTATAAAGCCTAACTGAAATGAGGGCAGAAGATTTGAGCAGCAGCATTCATATGAAATTCTTATGAGTGTGACACATGGCATTTGATTACTTAATGCAGAAAATGGAGAATGGAGAGCACAAATTACAGTCTAACAATGTTATTTTTCATTTTGGTCAAGATCTGGTCTTTTCCCCTTCTGAAAAGAACAGTTGCAGAAAGAACATGGAGTGTGTGAAAAGTTTTTCAATAAAAAAAAAATAATCTGATTATCTTATGTCAGTGTTTTGCAGAAACACTAACTACAGAAGTCAAAGTATTTTCATAAATCATCACATATTTTATTGCAGTAAACATCTGCTGCTCCTGCAGATACATATATATGTGTAGTCAAGGGAGCACTTGAAAAGGAGTAAGGAATGCTAGGTACGCTAGTTACTGAAAAGTAATGTATAAAACAGGATTTCTTTTGCTTTTGCCATTAGGACTAAAGAGTTTATGAAGTTATAGAGACATTAATGGTAACACTAATTTATTGTATTTCCAAATTAAGACTACACCTTCAGAAGCTTTTGTTGAATCAATGCCAAAAGACTGTCCAAGTTAGCTTAAGCACATTGGAAGAACAATGCAGTATGAAACTCACCAAAAAAAGTCTTAGCCAAAGCCATAATTTGCAGCAGCAATTAATGTTTGTTTTGGGATTCAGTCACTTAAGTAAATACTGAACTTTCAAAAAACACCTAAGTGCAAAGGAGTGCAAGACAGAGTCCAAACTAAGGCTCAGGGGAGCTGGTACAGCACAGTGTTGTTCTACGCAGAGAGTAATTTGGGTCCACATTTGGCATTCACACGGCCCAGAGCCTGGGCTAATATGTCCTGCCTTTCAGCACAGTTTGTTAGCTCAGGCTCAGCGCCAAACTGACAAGGCTATAGAGCACCAGGCTCTGAAGCAGTCTCCACACTGTACTTAATGTGCTGTATAAGCACGAGAGAAACACCTACAGCTCAGATGCTCCTTTTGCCACTTACGTGCTTTTGAAAGTCCTGTGTCTTCTGTCTCTTTACATGTACTCTTCACCCCCTGAGAGTTTTGGAGGCTATTTCCTTATGGTTATGGCAAGCAAACTCTTAGCACATGGAAGAACATAAGCAGCCACCTCTGTACTTGTTTTCCTGCAGCTTCTGCTATATGGGTTTCCTCCTATGTATTCAAGGCTTTATTACTTGGACAAAAGAAACTCTTCCTTTGTGCTTGACATTCCTATTTATATGTTTAATTAAGAACTTTTACTTTTTTGACCGGAATAATTTTTGACTATGAATGAGATAGACAAATCCTTACCCTCAACAGCCAGTGATACAATGTCTTGAGTGTCTTCAACTCCATACATAACATCACAGCGATACACTCCAGCATCACTTGCACGCAGCTTAGAGAAAGTCAGTGAAGCATCACCAGTCTCCTCTGAATGGGTTGGAACAGACACTCTGTCTTTGTAGCTTTGACCTATTTTGATGTTGCCATTCTGGGCCACCAGGACTGTGGTTTCTTTTGCGTCTTTTCCACTTTTATCCAGTTCAACCTTTGACCATTTGATTCGAAGATACTCAGCTGCATAGCTGGAAGATATGGTGGGTGTGGTTGAAAAGAGGCATGGCAGGACTGAAGTTCCAGAGAGGGATCCCTTTATCATGGTGTTTTTTTCTGCTTTGACTAGAAAAAGGGGAGAGAGGGGGAGAAAGGAGAGAAAGGAGAAATTGCATTAGTGGAACACCAAAATTGGAAGCAGATAGAGTTATTTAACAATACAAGGCATGCAATAACTGAAATTCATGAACTTTATCTGATTTGCAACAGGACTGATTAGTATAAGGTAAAAAAAGTTTGCGTCAATATCCTCGGCTGCTGATAGAGCCCTTTTGTGTTTGGGCAAATTTAATTCACTGTTCTCTGACTTATTCTCTCCATTTGTTACAGCCACCAAGTTATTGACCTTCTTAGAAAGTGTTTTGATATTTCAGATGACAGATGAACTGTAAGAGTTATGCAGTTTTACTTCTTAGGAGGAAGACCACTCTGAGTTGAATGATGGTGAGTTGTCTCACATATATTTTTGGCCAAAAGCATGCATACAGGGGAGCTACTGATGTTTACACTTTCCTTACCTCACAGTAGCTTGTTCATTTGCTCCTGTCCAAGTAAAAGCTAGCCCATGACTTTGCATACATGATAACCCTTACTCCATTATTCTTTCAAGGGTTAACTCTTTTTATTGCATACATGCTGAAACAAAAGCCTTTCCAGAGAGATCCTCCCACAGAGTCATTCTTTTAAAATTATTTCCTTGTGGCCTCAGGGACTTTCACACATTGCAGAAATAAAGTATTTTGGGATGTTAAGCAAAAAAGGAAGCAAAGTACACAGAAAGTCCCTACTTGGCTCAGACTTGACATGATAGGACCTTTATCATTTTTCATGACATTGCCAGCTGCAAACATCTTACAGTGAAATGTTTCCATCTGACAATATCCTGAGGGGGAAGTTGACTACTGTTCATCCAACCTGCACACAGCAGCTCTCTGACGAGAGGATTTCTGTTAGATTTATTTTTTTGTGTTACATTATTTCATCACATATAATGGCTTAATGAAAATTAAAAGCTGATGCACAACAGTATCTAACTTACCTCTTTCATTGTCCTGCACTCTAATATTTTTTGAAAGGTGGAACATGTTGAGCCTTAATTTGACATTAGCTAGGCTTAGTAAAGTTTAGGAGTACAGTCATTTCAAGTACTAGCTGCCGACGGAGTGATTCATTAAATACAGGACACCAACACATGAATATTATCTAGCTATTTATCTGTCATCACAAATATAATCTTTCCATAAAGACAAAAAGGTTTGAGAAGAGAGAGAGAAGAAAAAAAAGAAGAGCAGGGAAAAAAGGAAAATTGCTCATTAGGTTGAATCTGTATATAAAGGGAAAGACAAAAGGAGGTCCAATATAAAACTGAAGACTTGAAGGCTTGAAGACAAGCCTGCAGAAGTTAGTAGAGACTAAAGACTAGCTCATAAGCTTTCACTGAATATACTTTTAAGTGAAAAAAAAAAAAACAAAAAACAAAACTATTGACAGGTGGGTGGATTTTTATGTTCATAAGGAAATAAAAACTCAACTCACTGAGATTCAATTGATTGCTAAAAACTAGAAAGAACTGTTTATGTCCTGAAGATGTACAGTATAGAAGCACCACTGCCTTTTATGTCACTTTCAGTTTCTTGAAACTTCACCAAGTTACAGTGGGGTAGAGATAAACAGAATGAACACTCACTCCTATCAGTTGCAATGGAATTAATGCCAAATTGCACAGGTGGGAGATTAAAATCAGTCTCAAAATATTTAGTATTTAGTATGATCACTTGTCATCTTATATATATTACAGGAACTTCTTAAATGAAAAATGACCTAGTTATAATTATCCTGACTGACAGAATTTTAATAAACTTTTGAGAACACTGTTTCTGGTTTTGAGTGATCTGGAATATCAGCACTAACGCTTGAGGAAATTTAAAAATCTGTCTTCACATCAGCAGACTGAAATCCTTGGCAAACATCACATATGATCATGATATGCAAACTAGATCTAGCCTAAACTGGGCTACCTCCCAGAATAGGAGACCATGTAGCTGCACACATGCCCGTCTATGTGCAGAAAGCATTATAAAACACTATATAAAAGAACTTTTTTATTTTGACAAGAGGGGAAAAAGAGGGGAAAAGAAAAAGAAAAGAGGAGAAACTTTTCGCTATTGAAAAAATAATAATATTTTCCACTGAAACATAAAATTATGTGATGATCCTGAACAGCTCCAAAAAGCTTGATTTCTTGCAGCAGTCTGAGTTAGTTAAGCAGAATTTATTGGCCAATACAGAAAGCATCAATATCGTCTATGAATCCACGTTGCCCTTTTGTTCCTTTAGCATTTTCTCAGCACATTTTCTCAGTGCTTACACCCCACGTCACGTCTCCTTTTCAGCCACTATCAACAGTATGTGGCAGACTATTCCTTAAAAGGGACATGGCAGGCAAAAATATGAACCAAACATTTTGTAACTCTTTTGCAAACTGGAATACAAGCTGAGAAAAGCAGGCATTTGCCAACATTGTTTTATACCATATCTTCATTTCATTATACAGGACCTACAATACTTGTAATATCATGTACCCTTAAACAGAAGGATGGTTTTGAAATTACTCAGCTGGTTGGCACCAGCTCAGTGTGTGAAGAACTTCTTGCTTGAGAACAAAGTCTTTTTTTCCCTAGTATTTTTACATTTTTCTGATGTAAATGTTACAAAACTCTTAAAATGGAAGTTTAAAGAGGAAAAATATCCCAAACAAACTAACAAAAAAAAACCATAACATGCAGACATCATAGGCATACGTTATGTGTATTTATAGCACATACAGGTCATAAATATGATCAGATAAACTGATGTTTAAACTGGTATATTATTCATATACATTTGAAAAGACATTATCACACTCTATTCTAGAGCATTTTTACTGTCTTTGGGATTAGAGGGCTTCAAGAAAGCATACTCACTCATGACATGACAAATAGTCACTTAAAACAGGTAATATAAACTCCAGCATTAATCATAATCACAATGTCGAGCTAGCAAGCTAAAATATCTTAACACCAACTGGCTCAAAATGAGTAAATGCCACACTAACAGTAGTTGTAAACCTTGCTCATGAACTTCTGTCACTGATCCTTCACATGAACCAGAGCAAACAGCAAAGGTCTTTCAGAGGGGCACACTCGTGACCCCAGGAGCTTAGACCGTATTTCCTCCCACCTTCCTGACACACATCTTCTGAGAATTAAAAGTCTCAAAGAAACCACACAAATCCATTCTCAATTTACCCTCAAAGGAAAAAATACTTTTGTTGCTACAATCTAATGAGCATGCCATGCAAACATGACAGCTATTTATGAATGGGACCATTCACAAAGATGAGAGTGGAAAAGAGAGGAAAAAAAAAAGTCAGGAATAATGATTAGTGGTTCTAAATTAAGCTTCAGTTTTGTTATGACTTAACACTAAGACTCACTGACTCCAGGATTTACAGTTTAACTGCTGATTTTGACAAAGTTCCCACATGACCCTTGAAAGAAAAATTTTAAACTTTCAGAGCAATTTCACCTGAAAGCTTTTTAAAGGAAATATTGCAATACTCATAATGAAGTGACTGTGACTAAATTTAATTATGTCAAATACACTGTGGGAATGCAAGCATGGGAATTTGTGTTTCATAAAAGATTTCAAGGCTTCAATTTTATACTGAAATTGAGGATTTCAAAGAAAAAAAAAAAGAAACTTAAAATGTGTAACTCTTAGAAGTGCAGACATACATTTTATTTATTTTTTAAACAAAAGCTGTACTTGTCTGTAACCTTCTAACACTAAACCTGAAAAATGTTAATACACAAACTGACATTTGTACAAAACAGAAAGGTATGAGTTGATCCCACAGACTCTATGGGATCAATCCATGAAAAAGTTTTTCATCTTCATCTTCTTCACCATGGCCATACCTTGAACATATTTAAGACTCCGCATAGCAAAAGTATGCTCCTTAACTTCAAAGCTCACAGTGTACTCTAGAAACATAAGGGTCTTCTGAATGTATTCCAAAAGATTCAGGCAAATAAGGACCAGTCAGAACCTGATCTATACTCCTGAGAAGCTTTCACGAGCATGCTCATATGAAACTTACTTTAGGACTAAAGATTCTACACTGGAGACTACAAAAGCCATTTAAGAGGTGATAAATGGTGGAGTAAGTCAGGGGACATATAAAGGTGCCATCCCATTTTCTAGCACTCCAAGGATCCATCCCACTCCACTTCCAGTGATCCAGTCCCTGAATTCTGCCAGAACTAGCATTTGCGCAAGGCATTGAGTCAAAGGTCTGATTCAGTGGAAAAATAACCTTCAAGAAATCCCATATGCTCTTTCAGACAAGTTGCTTACCTGTTTCAGCTAGCCATATACCCACATAATTGCTAGTGTCAGCACAAAGAAAAGCGTGAAAACTAGCACCAGGGGATGGAAAAGGGGCAGGACTATCCCATCTAGTGCTGAAATGCATGTGCTATTAGACAGACCATGAAACTATGCCCTAAGTAAACATGAAGAGACTTTCAATAGGTCCTAAGAGAAACGTTAGGTTTAAATTTCTTGTCAGAATCCTTTGCCTTACTTATTCTAAGGAAGAGGTGATGGTAGGAAACAGTAATGGATGGTGCTCCCAAACTGATGCTGGAAAAAGCAAAGAAAAAAACAACACACTTCTTTTCAGTTGGCTCAACTAAGCACAGCAGTGTTTTAATTCATCTTACAGGATGACCTAGACTTTGTTGGTAACTGTGTTGAAAGGGGGGGGGGGGGGGGGGGGGGTGGAAATTAGAGCGTTTGATTTTCCCAAAGGCTAAAGTCAGTTTGAGGAGTTTCTGGGGAAAAAGAAAAAAAAAAAAGAAGAAGGGGACGGGTGAGAAATCAAGAAAAATCTTGCTTTGAGGTTTGGGAAAGCTATTTTCCCAATTTTGTGAGCCTCAGCTGCTGTGAGGATCTCTTCTTTACTAAAGGTTTGACTCAAACTTTCAAATAGCCATAGCAACCACACATGAATACATACTTTAGTTTTAGCATGTAACTGTCAAAAGAAGTAGTAAAGACTCTTCCTTTCCACCCAAACAGAAGGCCAGAAGCTGCCTTAACATATCCTTGCTACAGACCTCAGCAGCCAAGGGACCTTCCACCAGGTTAGCTCGTGGCAGACCCCAACACGGGGCTGGCAGCCAGACAGCCTGTTCCAGAGACATGTCCCCAGTTGCTCCTTGACAGATCACAGAGCAAAGCAGAAACTGGGGCAACTGGTTTCACCCTGAACACAGAGAGGATGCAAGTTGTGACCTATAGACCCAAAAGGCTGCTGTGGCATGACATACATGAGCATACACATTGGGATCTGCCTGGGAGGTAGGCAAAAGCTGTATTCCTGTAGCCCAGAAGCTCCCTCATTTCATTCACCACTTGCTAGGTCTCTTCCAGGAACCTGCTCTGCTCCAGTGCTGCTGGCACTGTCCCCTCTGTGGCACCAAGCTGAAGCTCCCATGGAAGGTGTTTGCCCCCACTAAATTTTGCCCTCCCACCACCCCTCACCTCATCTAGTCCAAGGAGATCCTTGGTGAATGATGGAAACCGAAGGCATGAGGCAGCTTGGCCAACAGGTCCCACATTTTGGAAACACAAGTAAAAGGATTAAAATGCATTCTTGAATATTTGGAGAAAGCAATCTGTTTTGCTTTACACAATGTAATCCTATGGCACTTTATTTTTACTTGAATTGTAGCAACAACACTTAAAAACCTTCAGGAGACACCAGACAGTTATGTAAAACCTTGTCAAAAACATGCCCACAGACCAAGAGTTTTCCAAATATATTAGTATGGAAAAGAAGAGAATACAGAAACAAAGTCAGTTACACAGTGCAGCAAAAAAGAGTGGCAGAGGAAAGACCAGAAACTGAATCTCCTGCGTTTTGGCTATTTGCCGCATCCTGGAAAATATCCTACTGATTAGACCACTAAAAGAGATTTGAATAAATGGATCTATGTATAACAGACTTACCTTTAGGTAGCATACATATTATAACTAAAGCAAAGTACATCCGTAAGATAGTTTTTATACTTAACAACATCTTGACCTACAAATAAAGAAGAAAAACATAGTTAATATTGTACTGTGCCCTTACCAAGTGTTGAAACTCAGTACCTCAGTATTTGTCACTGATATTAAAAGCATTCATCTTCTTAAAAAAAGAGTTCATTGGGACAGAGAATAATTCTTAGTATATTGATCTTCTTCAATTTTGGTCACTGTTTATTCCCATAAAGTGGTGGCAATGTATGAGTACAATCTGGTTACTTTTTCCTGATGTGGTGTTACCAGTTTAGATTCAGCCTCTGGGTAGTTATATGTCTATCACACAAATTACCCTGTCATTTGTCAAGAGCTAACAACCTGGTTCATGTCAGAAGGGATTCCCCATGACAAACTTTTCATGAATTTTGATGGGGAGTCAACATCCACAATATGACCCTTCCCACTGCAAGTTGCCAGAAAACTTCCTGCTATCAAGATTTCTCCATATAATATTTTACAGTAGAAACTTGTTAGAATGACAATGTGTGCTGTCAAATACAAATTCATAATGTGTTTCAAATTATCTAATCCAGAGTGACACTCAGCCATGTCAGTTCCCTTTGGATTTGCTTCTCACTTCCTTTACAGGCTCCACCTTCTAACAGCTGAAGAGTTCTCCATGTATACCATATGCACATAACAATATCTTGCATGTTCATAACAGTGTATCTTCATTTTTATTCCACTTCTTAGTTACATATGTTGAATCTGTAAATATCCTGAAAATTTCAGTACTCTAACAAAAGCATTGCAAGTCCTATAAATGTCAACTACTGTAAGGGGGTTACAAATAGTCCCTCTTCCACATAGTTACACATATGTATTATCTAGTCAGCATAAAAAATGACTTTCAGCAATAGTCTGTCAAGCACTGCCATTGAAACTTTACCACAAAATCTTGAGTTAACTGATATTGCTGTTAAAATAACCTACTTAATTTCTTTACATGGGCCACTAAACTGAACCAGTATCTTTTTCCCTGTCCAAAAGATTGCAGTTGAACTGCATTAAGGAACAGCAAAACAGACATTTAGTAGATAGATGTCTGTTATAACTATGAAACTGCACATATATATTTTTTAGCATTGTAGTTCTTAAGTACTTACATATAATTCTTTAGGGTTAGAACATTACTAATACTTTCAAAAACCTCAGCAAGCTGTACTGAACCTGATAGCAAGACACACAGAGACACATCTTTAGAAAACTACTGGTGACGTGTTCAACCTCAGGAAAATTTTCTCCCCAGCTTACACTGCAGTCCAAACTTCACATGAATCTGTGTGAATTGGCATTTATCCTGTAATGGCTGAACAGCTCAGAAAAGATGCAAAACATCTCAAACCAAGCCTTTCCAATGAGGCAATCTCTAACATAACAGCATCATGTTAAAAATTCCCACCCTAAAGGGCAGAAAACCCAAGAGCTTTTCATTTGCTATACATGGATAGCCAGAGCTGGCCAGTTGCACTGGGAAACATATGCTGCAACCTATTCCCAGGGCGTGGAGGGAAGAATACAGCTGCTTTCTGTAGAGCAGACTGCACGTTGCCAGACACCCCAGTTCTCCTTCAGCATTCAATAGAGCTGAGTATATAATGTGATATCACTTATTTTGCAATACTAACTTAGTGGAATTTGCACTTATTATGACCAAGTCCCAAACAAGAACGAAGACGTCTTTGACTTCATTCAGTTTGAGCCACATCTGCCTAAAACTTTTTCTGAACACTCTAACACATGCCCTCAACACCAGCCAGCCAGAGTTTTTCTCTCTTTCTACATTTACACAGGCCAAGCTGCCCATGGAGAAAACTAAAGTGTTTATTTTTTAACTGTGAAAATCTATACCATGCCCTGGTATATTATATATGCCTTGAAGAAGGTTGTTACAAGTGAGGAAGTAGCATAAGATAAGAGCTGCAGACATTGAAGTCTTTTTAATGCAAAGGACCGGTTCTGAAATGCAGTCACGTGATTGCTTATACAAATAATCCTCATTATTACACAACATTTTTAAAAAAAGAAAAAGAGAGTTCGTGCTGAGACTACACATGTGCACAGACTAGAAGGGCCTTCAGGCAGCCCTTGTATCCTGAAACTGGTTTAAGCCTCAAGGACCAAATCCACAGCCAATTAGGTCCTTCAGTAACACAAGCACCCTGAAGAGAGCACAAAAAGAAGACCAACAGCCTACTCCCTTCAAAGGCAGTAAATGCTGGTCCTGCCTGCCAGACAGTGCTCTGCTCTGGCTCCTCTGAAAGCAGGGTGGCTCCAGACCTTCCTTTGAGATACTCTGCCCACATGTGGTTTCCATGCGTCACACACTGGCTACGTCCACAGCTAAACAAAGATCTAGAACAAACTGTTTATAAGTTTAGATTTTCATGTTTACCCATACGCTTGATCTCTCTCCTCCTTCAGAAGCCAAACTTGGCTTTTGGGATTAGAAACAAGGAGTCATAGAAAAAGAAAAAAGGATTACAATTTCCCTGAAAGATGGGCATGCTGCACCTAAACAGGGCTGGCTGGGTATTGAGACCACTGCACTGGCCCTGACCAGGAGTACCTGCATAGTTCGCACATGCCAATTGGAGTCCTATTGCCCTCAGAAGCTCATTGCAATAAAGCCATGACAAGAGGTGATGTAACTGCTTCCACATTTGGCAGAAGACAAACTCTGCTACTGTGAGCAGAACCAGCTGAGAGCTCTAGAATCATAGAATCAACTAGGTTGGAAAAGAGGTTTAAAATCATCAAGTCCAAAGAAGTGGCCTTGAGTGGACTAGAAGTGAGCTTCTGCCTTACACTACATGTCCAGAATACAGGGAACATCTCATATCCCATCCTCTTTGTTCACAGGCACAGAGCTCTGATCCTCCAACATCATGTTGGTGACTGCATTACGAATGCAATTCAAGGGACCCTCACATCTTCAGCTTCGAGTCACTGAGCATAATACTTACAGCCACAATGAAATATGAAAATATAACTACAACTGCAGAAGGGCAATTTCCAAGATATCCTGTGACTGCTGAATTCAACCATGGCCACAGGAGAGAGCATTCATGGTTGTAATGGCTACTTAGCCTTTTACTGAATAGTGCAGGAATTATGCTTGCTGCACCAAGAGCCTGGATAGCTCAAAAAGGAAAAATGGCACACTTTGATCACGGAGCTTAGCATAAGACACCTGTCAAAAATCCCCACCTGACTCTCAGAACGGCATCTCTCAACCTTTTATTTTTCTAAATCTCCTCTACCCCAAGGTGCTTACTCAAGCAATGAAAAATGCTGGGACAAAGGTCTGATTTTCTGCCCTTAGGAAACACGAGCAACAGTTCCCATGCAGTTCTCAAGGCGTGAGAGTTTTTACACCCCAGGTCCTTGGTGAAATCTCACAAACAGTTTCTGAGTGCTATTCCACTACAGCTGCCAGAATTAAATGTGCAACTACCCTTGCCACCACCTCCAAACAACAGTGTGCAGATCACAATGGTGGTACCTTGCTCAGCACCCCAGGTCAGTCTAGCTCCAGAGAGGGGACTCGTTCAGCCTGGAGAAGAGAATGCTTAGGGGTGACCTTTTAACAGTCTTCCAGTATCTAAAAAGATACTGGAGAAGGGCTTTTATACAAGGGGCTGTAGGGACAGAACAAGGGGGAATGGTTTTAACTAAACAGAGAGGAGATTGAGATGAGCTCTTCGGCAGAAGTTCTTCCCTGTGAGGATGGTGAGGCCCTGGCAGAGGTTGCCCAGAGAAGCTGTGGCTGCTCGATCCCTGGCAGTGTTCAAGGTGAGGCTGGATGGGGCTTGGAGCAACCTGGTCTAGTGGAAGGTGTCCCTGCCCGTGGCAGGGGGTTGGAACTGGATGAGCTTTAAGGTCCCTTCCAACCCAAACCAGCTTGTGATTCTATGACTGTGTGAAAACAGAGCTCTGGTACCAGCAATCCCCCTCAAGAGCCGCTGGCAAGGCAGAAGCTGCTGCACGCAACTAGCATCACAGTGCCCATTCGGTGCTGCTCACATTTGCAGGCAGATGTGACTGCTCCTGCTTCCTCCCCTTTTGCTGGCAGGGGCTGTGGCTGACTGCTTCCTTGTAGCCTCCTGAGAAAAAACCCTGATCTAAAATGGATTTGTATTTCCCATTCCCACCCTCTACAGTTGGCAAAAGCCTCTGCTGGATGCCTGCCATACTGCCCCTAAATCCGTTGTAATTAGCCAAAATCCTTCTAAACGTATCATTTCCCCCCCACACACCCTTTGGTGTCACTACACCTAGAGTAAGAAAAAACCATAATATTATGGACACAGTAAGAAAATCATGCCAACTCAAGACTGCAAGACTTGAGTGAGTGTTTAATTTCCACCTTCTGTTAAAAAAAGTATCTCAATATGACTGAACTTGTGTTTTCTGCTGGCTGGTTTCCAACTAGACTGATCCATTTTACTAGGAGCTACTACAGGCAGACCAATCTACAGGAATTGCACTGCATTTTTATACTGGATGTAACCCTGAGCACAGCATAATTTAATCAAAAAGATGTCAAGTTCTTGACAAACTTCAAATCTTTAAGAACTAGCAGCATAGGTTGCCCCTGTGGGGAGGGAGCAGGACTTCTATTTTTGCAGACACTGCTACCTTCCCTTACCGCACCAAAAACTCACATGAACAATAAGTTCTGATGAAACTCCAGCTCGTGTTTAGTTTACAGTGTAAGCTTGATCTCACACCAATGCTATTTTAACTCAACCAAATGGGAGTACATCGTGTCTCTCTGCTTTAAACTCCAGGTTAAGACAGAATGAATTGTCCTGGTGTGAAATGGATTAAGAACTACCATTCCAAAACTATTCCCAGCTTCTCAGAAGTTGGGACAATGAGAAATTAGCTACTTCTACAGAGGTGACATTGCCTTTGAAAGCTGCAGCTTCTCAAGTCACACTGAGACCGATTTAATACATGTGCTGCAGCTGTACTGTGAAAGCCGGCCCATGTTCCTTAAACACATAAAAAGGATTGAGCCTTGCTGCCTCAATATAGTGAAAGTCAGGCTCACACTGAAGAATTTAAAATAAAAAAATAAAAGGGGGGTGTGAGGAAATCCTAACAGGAAGTGACACTAGAGAAGTTAACCAAGGTTGCTGCTCCTACTAATGAGTAAAGCAGTAAATTACACAGCTCCTCGGTGAAACACTGAGCTAAAGTGACCAATCCCAGACTCAACACACCTCTTGCTACCTTCCGAGCTCTGCCTGAAACCTTCATCACTGCTGCCCTTTCTCAAACATACAGAGTCTGCACTTTCCTTTGCCTTTTATCCTTCAATACATCTGACTGTTAATTGTTGGCATGTACCAACCTCACAGTGAGTGCTGCCTAATTAGCTTTACCAATCTCACCATGTCTCTGCCATGTTATTATTAACTAGCCCTTGGCACTGCCACTTGGTGGAATAAGCCTGTGTCCGGCTCATCGGTGGTGTTTGCTTAGCCTATTATCACTCACAAATGTCCTCCTAAAGCCTCCAAAAAGACTCTAGGGGCACCTTCATCCTCCCTTCCTCAAGCACTGGCAGCCACAGAGAGAACAATTCCAGTGCTTGAGCACCAGTCTCAGCACAGACAGGAAAGCCAACAGGAGAAATGACCAGAGCACAGCATGTTCTGGCACTCCGCACTCTGAAGAAGCTTCTCAGCTGAGAAGCTGCAGCCGGAAGACATCCTTCCGAGGGCTGTCCTAATTTGTGTCAGAAGTGACTCTGGGCCCTCCCGGTGGCCTCACAGAGAAAGGGTGGAAACACTGGTTGTCAGAGGCAGCAGGTGGAGTGAGGTCCCAGAGCAAATTCCAGCAGCACCCAGGCTCTGCCTTCATACCTGCTGCCCAGGACACCCATGGACCTCTGGATGCCCCACCTCTGCCTTGCACTGACATTTTGAAGGGAGCCAGAGGCATGTGTGAGAAGCAGCAAGGAGAAAAAGAAATCATAGATCACAGAATTAATTGGGTTGGAAAAGATCTTTAAGATCATCAAGTCAAACCATATCCCCAGCACTGAAAGTTCAACATTAAACCATGTCACTGAGGGCCTCATCTCCAGACTGTGTGAGCACTTCCAGGGACAATGATTCCATCACTGCCCTGGCCAGCCTGTTCCAATGCCTGAGCACCCTTTTGGAGAAGAAATTGTCCTAACCTCCAGTCTAAACCTCCCCTGGTGCAGCTTGAGGCCGTTTCCTCTTGCCCTGTCACTTGTTCCCTGGGAGAAGAGACCAGCCACCTCCCGGCTCCATCCTCCTGTCAGGCAGCTGCAGAGAGTGATAAGGTCCCCCCTGAGCCTTCTCTTCTCCAGACTAAACCCCCTCAGGTCCCTCAGCTGTTCCTCATCAGACTTGGGCTCCAGGCCCTTCACTATCCCAAGGGACCTGGGATTTCTGTTGTTCCACTCAAGTGAATGAAGTCCCAAGCTCCTTCTTTATGAAAATGTGTAGTGCTTTCTGTAGCATAAAAAGAGATGTTTCCCCATTTATTTTCTTCATGAATTTGAGCACCTGCCCTAGACCTGCCCGTGTGCCACAGGCTGTCAGTAAAAACATGATTTAGATCCCTCATTAACTGGTGCACCTGCCTCACCTTTGCTCACATGCAAGTATGGCGGTTGTTTGTACAATACATTTTCTCAATGAAAACTGATGTATTCTAACACAAATAAGCAGCTTAATCCATTCAGCTTCAGCAGAGTGCTCTTTCTTATCAGCACTAGAGCACATTTTCCAGAACTTAAGCTAATGAGCTTGACCTTCCACCAGGCCCCCAAATTGTTTCTGTTTCTATGGGTAAAAGTTTTAGATAAAAGTAACTGAAACTTCCTTTATGAAAGTTTTCATTGATTGCAAGCATGCATTTTAAAAGCTAGGAGTATAATTATTTACCGCTTGAATGGCATAAGAAAAGTAGTCCTCTAGGAGTTTTTTCTCTTGTAATATATTTAAGAGCTTATTGTTTTAAAAATTGAGAATATTTAATATCAGATTTCAGTTATATATTATATTACTTCACATTGGGATGTGAGGGGTGCGTAAGACCCTCAGCGTCTTAAAGCCTAAGGTCCTTGCCGCTACATTTAGTTGTGTTTAACCCAGTCAACATTCAATGTCTTTTAAGTGCAGCATGAATCTACAATAATAAGGAAGAGTAAGATCCCCCACATTCCATACATCCATAACACATTCCCATACACTGACAGCACATTCCTGCCAAAGACTTCAAAGTGCTCCAGTGAAGTTGGCGCCAGTTTAGCAAGGGTTTGAGACTGACAAAGGTGCAAGAAATCCTTCCCATTTTTCACTCTACCAGTGCATAAAATCATAGAATCACACAACCAACCACAGAGCTAAAGACCTTTAAGATCAAGCCCAACCGTTACCCCAGCACTCCCAAGCCCACCACTAAGCCATGTCACTAAGGGCCTCATGTACACAGTGTTTGAACACTTCCAGAGATGGTGATTCCACCACTGCCCTGGGCAGCCTGTTCCAGTGCCTGACCACCTTTTTGGGGAAGAAATTGTTCCTAATACCCAATCTAAACCTCCCCTGGTGCAGCTTGAGGCCGTTTTCTCTTATCCTGTCACTTGTTCTTGGAGCAGAGATCAGCCACCTTCTGTCTCCACGCTCCTTTCAGGCAGTTGTGGAGAGCGGTAAGGTCCCCTCTGAGCCTTCTCTTCTCCAGACTAATCCCCCCCCCCCGGTTACTCAGCCATTCCATTCCCCATCACACTTGTGCTCCAGGCCCTTCACCAGCTCCGTTGCCCTTCTCTGGACCTGCTCCAGCACCTCAATGTCTCTTGCAGTGAGGTGCCCAGAACTTAACACAGGATTTGAGATGTGGTCTCACCAGTGCCCAGTACAGGGTGGGAAAAGATACAGAGATGCAGCTCATGGTTTCTGCAACTCTGCCTCTCCATTGCTGGGCTCAGCACCAGGACCAGTCTGTCAGTTGGACAAGTGTTTGTTTCCTTGTCCGGCGTCGGCACTTCGAGCTCGGCAAGCAGCGAGTGTCCTGACCCCTCCCCGGCAGCAGAGCCGCCTTCCCCACCGATGTCCCGTCTCACGCTCGGAGCGCTAAGGGAGCCCATCCAGCTGCAGGAAATCCCCCCACCCGTCACCACCACAGCGACTGTCGGCTCCGGCTGCGATCCGGGCAGCGTGAAAAACAGCCCGAAACGCAGCGGTGACGACCATTAACTGAAATATATGATTAATACATTAATTTATTTACGATTATTTTCTTTCCCCTGCCCTTGAAGGAGAGGGAAACCGGAGCCCTCTGGCGGGAAATGAGCGCGTACAGAAAGAAAGACCCTGCAGTTATCCGCCAGGGGGCGCCCCAGTGCCGCTGCCCCCGGGCCCGGCCTGTGCCGCTCCTCGAGAGCGGCTGGGGCCGCGCCCGAGGCGGGACCCCGGTCCCGCCGCCTCCTGCCAGCCTTTTTCACCATCACTCCGCCCGCCTGGGGAACCCTCTCCCGGTGGACCCTGGACGAGCTTGAGCAGCGGCCGTCGGAGACCCCCAGAGGCGAGCCGCTCCCTTCGCCCGCCCTTCACCGCTACCATAGCCAGGGCTCCCCGCCAAGTTTTGCTCACTCCTCTGGGGAAGAAACGGACCTCTTTCAATGAAAAATGAAGAAAAAAAAAAAAAAAAAGGCAAACCCCACACAACCAAACCCACCCAATACTCTTCCACACGTTTCAACACTCATGCCTGGGAATAAAATGAAAAGAAAAGCCATCGGGGCTTAATCCCGAGTGCTCGGGGGAAAGAGGGGCGGCCGGGGAGAACGTGCCGAGGGGACAATGAGGGCTGGCTCTGGCCACCCCCGCCGCCCCTTTGTGTGGGGCCTGTGCCAGCGGGGACACCCCCCCCACCCCCCATCACACACACACCCTCTTTTCCCGCCGTTCGGACTCCCTCAATTTCCCTCCACGATGCTCTCACTTCGTACAACAAAGGCGAGGTCCCGAGGCAGTGCCCGCGCCCCGAGAAGGGGACTGTGGGTGCACACAAAACCGGGGTGCGTTTCGCTCCACTGACCCGGTGGTTCTTCTCCTCACCCACTGCCCCCCTCCTTCCAGTACCGAAAATGTGGCTCAGAGGACGCCTTTTGCTCTCCCGTCTCGGAGAGATGCTGCCCAAGGACCTCAACCCCGCTCTGCCCTTTGAGCGGCTTTCCAGGAACACCGGGGGAAGGGGAAAAAATAATAAAGATAAAACAGAAAGAGAGTGGGAGGAACACGCAGGAGCGGAGGAAGCTGAGCACACGCTTATTCCAGCGCAGGAAAAGCCAGTGGCCAGAGGAAAAGTCTCATCCTACTGCACGGACGCTTTGTGTATTAAACACCCGCAGCCTTCCCTCTTCCCTCCCTCCAGAGCCCCACCGCACACCAAGGCGCAGCTCTATCTTCCCGGCCGCTCACACGAACCAGAGCCAAAGACTTCTGTCAGGGTTCCCACCCTGAAGTCTTTTATTTCCTAGTTTTCTTTGTTCTCCTCTTTGCACTGGGGGATTTTGGTGGGTCCCCGAGCATCCCTTCTCCTCTCCCTCCTTCCTCCGCCCAGCGTGTCGCTGAACTTACCCCAGGTTGTTTAAATTCACCAATCATCGCTATTCTCTCCCACTTAAGGTTTGCAGTACAACTCTTTGTCCTTACAGGTACCGGCAGTAAAACAACCGGTTTAAATCTTACGCTAGGTGTTTGTCGGTAACCCTATGGAACAAAAAAAAAAAAAAGGGGGGAGGGGGGAGGAGAGGAAAGGAAAAAAAAAGAAGGAAAAAGAAAAATACACAAAAAACCCCAACGCACACTGAAAGACTTACAGTTACCTTAAAAGGTAGCGTACTGCAGAGACTGCAAAAAATTACAGCGTGGTGGCTAGGGCTAGTCCAGAGATCCCAGCAGCCGCATGAAAGAGTAAATCCTCTCGTTAGTGCTTCAAGAGGACGGTGGTTCCCGGGTCTCCCCTTCTCCCGGCGCTCGGCCTCCCCTCGCTCCCTGCCGGCTAGCACCTGCCTCCGGTCTGCGGAGTCTGGACCGAGCCGTGAGCACAAGGAGCTCGCCTGCAAGTTCAAATGCGAGCCTCAGCCACCCATCATTATTATATCGTTGTACCGTCAGCACTGCAGAAGGAGGGGCGCTGGCTTGGGGAGAGGAGGGTTCACAAGCTCTGCAAGAGCCTCCTTGCAATTTCCAAAGCTCCCGCAGCTTCTGGGCGCCGGAGAGCCCCCAGCGCTGCCCCCGCGGACCCGATCCCCCCCGCCCTCCGGGACTCTCCGAGTATCCCCCAATTTCCCTTCGCTGCCCCTCCTGGAGCCCTCGGAGAGCCCTCGGGGCCCCTCATACCCCAGCCCCGCAGCCCGTACGGCGGGGACGGGTTCCTCTGCTCGCCCGACACCGGCCCTCCGGAGAGGAGCAAGGGTGAGAAAAGCACATTGTTCCCCAATTAAACAGTTAACCGGGAAGAGAATGGGGAGACCTCCCTCCACCCCGGCTCCTGAAGCCGATTGAAATGGGGGAAAGCGACAGGGATCGAAATTCCCCCCCCCCTTTTTTTTTCTTCCCTTTTTTCCCCCAGTCTCAGCGGAGGCTGCAACGAAAGAGTATCTTGGTGCTTGTTCCAAACTTCCCTTGCCTGTGCCAATTCACAGGCAGCCTCACATCGGCAGCCTCCTGAGCCAAGCTCCTCCACCCTAGTTTCATGCATATCCAGCCACTTTTCTTTCTTTTTTTTTTTTTTCCTTTTTCTTTCCCTTATTTTTTTAAGATTACACTCTGCTGTCCAGGCCTCTCGCAGATGAAGTCATAAGCAGAATTCTAAACCACCCTTTTACAAAGGACATTTACCAGTTAGTAAAGGGTCTGCTATGCTCTTCACGCAGTTACTTTCCCCAAAGATGTACCTATCCTGGTATGTGGCAGGCATTTAAGGACCCTTCAGGCACAAAATGCTGGCAAGAGCAGTGTTTCTGGCATGCTCTCTCTCAAAGAAGCGTGTGCTACAATCCCCCCTTCTTTAGGAAGGTTTAAATCTGGAGCCAGAAAAGAAAAGCCTGAAGAAATAGGTGTGTCTGCAGCTCTCTGGGCACTCTGATTTTTGGCAGCCTCAGGTACAACAGTCAGGAAGAGGCAGGAGGAGTTTTCCTCCATTGTCTCTCAATGGTACCATTCCATTTTACTCCATCCACAGTGTTATGCTGACAGTGGGTTTGAGACAAGCTCAAAGCCCACATTTCCAAAGACTGCCCTCGGTGCCAAGCTGGAGGAGCAGGAGGTGGAAGCTATGGAAGTCAAGCAAGGGGAAACAGAGACCTAATGGCTTAAACCAGACCAAGTTTGCCTGAGCTGTGGCCTGCATGTGGAGCTAAACAGAAGGGTGGAATCCTTATCTTCACAGAGCTTGGTGGCCTTTTCTCCTTAAAAAGGGTAAATCCACAGTGGCTTGCTTCCTAGCAAGCGCAATAAGGAGAGGATGACCCTGCTTTTCCATGTGAACACAGATGGTGTGTAGCAGCCTCCCTGACATGGCCACCCCTCTGGCACCAGTCCCTCCAGTCCCTCTTGCACAGGTCTGTCCCTACATGTCATGTGTGCCTCCTGGGCAGTGCCCTGTCTCAGTGGAATCACAGACTGGTTTGGGTTGGAAGGGACCTTAACGCTCATCCAGTTCCAACCCCCTGCCACAAGCAGGGACACCTTCCACTAGACCAGGTTGCTCCAAGCCCCATCTAACCTGGCCTTGAGCACTGCCAGGAGTGGGACAGCCACAGCAATAGTCTGAACCTGCTCCACCTAAGGATGGGTGTCTCCATCCTTGAACCTTCTTCAGTGTTGCAACTGACAGCAATGTAACCCTGTGCTTTCAAAAAGCTGCAGGCCTAATTCTGGGGCTTTTTGATGCAAATTCACAAAAAGGCATTGCAGTTCACATTAAAAAAGGCATTTCAATTCATATTAAGTCATGTGAAGGGGGTTCTCAGAGTTAACTCTGCTCTTTTCTAGCCTGGCCTTGCCTGCCTCGCCATGTGCAGATGGCAGTCCAATCACAATGTTGTGATGAAAGGAGAAATCTACCACTGAATTTCTCCAGTGTTGCTTCAGACAAGTCTCTTCAGCCCTCCCAGACATAAAGGGGTGTGTGAGATGCATGCTTAGGGCACTGTTGCCTCTTTCCTTACTATCTCAGCCCCCTCTCGGGCTGCATTTGAGGACACATGCATAAGGTTAGAATCTGTCTGGACAAATCTCCTTCTCTGGATCAGTCCCAGTAGCCCACTCTCTTTTCTGGACAAAGTGGCAGGACTCTTCGCCACCATTCCAGGCCTCACAAAAGGAGGGCAGGACACACCCTGTGGCTTTGGGTGTCTCCACTTCTCCAGGACAAATAGGAAACTTATAAATGATCAGGCACCATGGTGCAACAGAAGGTAGCTCAGTTGTCCCCTCTATCTTCCACCATCTGCCCGATCTTTCCAGCTTCACCTCTTCTTGCTCTGCTCCCTGCCTTGGCTTCAGGCAGGGGGGGTGATCTTTGACAAAGCAGAAGCCACTTCAGCAGCCCTGGTCTTGCTTCTCCATCACGTCTTGGCTCTTGGCCACTGAAGATTGAACAACTGCTCCAGGCAAAGGAAGGGGAGAGGATATGGTGGTGTCCTTGCCATGTGAAGATACCTGCTCTGCAGGGCTGGTCTATGAGCATCCTCTCATAGCTGTGGCTGGTCTGGAATTGAGTGGGACAGCCCCATGAGGGGAATTTGTGGCTGCCTGTGTGCACTGGGTCACTCGTGCTGGGGTACAGCTGAAGGGGCTGGGAGACACTGGGTATGACCAGAAATTTGTGTGTGGGAGGTGGTGAGAAATGGTGCTTCCTGCCTAGAGGCGCTACCGAGAAGCAACGAGGAGTTAAACCCCGGGGCTAATCCAGCTTTCAGGTCTGCTTGGTTGCATCCTTTTCATTTCTCACGAAGGGAAAGAAAAGCGATTACTTTTTGAAGAAAATGCCTTCCCCTCCTTCCCTTTCTTCCCTTCCCTTTCTTCTCACACACCCCGAATGCCGGGAGCCCTGGTGGGAACCGGACGACAGAGCAGCTCATTCATGGAGCTAGGAAGAAAGCGAAGGATGCAGAAACCACCACCAACACCCCCCCCAACACCCCCCTTCTTCTTCCTCCTCCCGGCGCCCCCGCAGAGCCTCACGGCCCCGGGGCTGCAGGCGCCCCGCGGCGGTGGGAGCGGGGCCGCCCCTTTCCCTTCCTTCCCTTCCCCTCGCTCACCTTCCCGAAGGGTGAAACCGAGCGAGACGACAAAGGGAGGACGCAGACGAGAACCCGAGTGTTCTCCCCCCGTCGCTTCCCCTCCCTTTTTAGGGGGCCGCTCGCATCCTCGGGGGGATGGAGATTTCTGGACTGGGAGGTGGGATGGAGAGACAAAGGCACAGGGTAAAGGAGGTGGTAGGGATCCCCCACCCCCTTTGTTCGGGATGTGCTGCTGCCAAAATGTGGGTTGGGACGGAAGAAGGAACTCATCCTGAGCATCCCCAGCCCGGGAGGGAAAGAAACCCTGGAGGAAGGAGGGTGGTTTGCACTGGAGACCCTCCCTCCCAGAGTTTTTGAGACCCTGGAGGGAGAACTGGGGAAAGTGAGGAGCTGGTCAAGCTAGAAAAACAGCCCCCCTGCAACCTCTAGGTATCGTCATCCCAGTTTATTCAACTCTCCTCCCTTGAGAGCACTTGAACCAAAAAGCTTCCAGAAACAGGACCTCCTCTCCTCCTCTCTCGGAGAGACCACGCAGACTTCCCCCATGAGTTATATCAGAGGCCTGAAACGTTGTCTGATTTACTGTGAATGTCAGATATTTTTCTTTGTAAATATTTTAGGCAAAGTAGAAACAGTAAACCTTTGCTCAGGCTGCCAAACGCCTCCCATGACAAATCATTATTTTCAGATGTTCAGATTTGTGTGAGAAAACCCAACAAAAGGAAAATATTTAGGCTTTGTATTCATCCTAAAGCAGTATTATTGGAGAGAAAAAGGAAAATAGTCCTTCCAGCTACATCGTAGCCCTGAGATGAAGAAAAATACTATTTTCATTACACACTTTTTAAGTACAGGTTTTATGTTACTGACTCAACAATGATTACCATTTTAAATGTGAAATGCAGACCCTAAAGGGTTCTTCACGAGAAACCATTGTTTTGAAATATCTGAAATTAATTAGACCTTGGCTACAGCAAATGTGCAAATATCAAATTAAACATCTGTGAAAAAAAGAAAATACATCTTCCCATCACTTGAGAGAATATTGTGAATCTGAAATATAGTCTATCAAGGAAACCCTAACTTGTCTGGCATAGGTTCTCTCAAGCTATCTTTTGTGACTTTACAGTTACCTTTATTTTGTCTTTTCCTATACCTTTCTTTTTTCTCCTTTTTCTTTTTTCTCTCCTAAGTTGCTGTGTATGAAAGCCATTACATAAAAGTCAAAGAAATAATTTCTGTAATTTGGATGCCAGCAGTACTAAGGTCAGTTCAGGCAAATCAAAGCTCCTTGCAAAGTTATTCCATTTGGCCACTGGCTCTGAAGTTCTAACTTCCCATTCCCATCTACTTGCAGAGGGTTGTGCAATGCCAGCTCTGCTGAAAATGAGTCCATCAGTCCAATTTTTCTCTTAAAGGTGCAGAAACGCAGGCTGCTTCCTAGTTCTGCTGTGATTCAGTCATCTAAAACCCAGTGTGTTTTCAGAAACCACAAAACCTTTCAAAACAATAGACTTCTGCAAGTTCTCAGATTTGTGTTTAAGAAAAGCTTCTCCCAGTTCTTCTTTCCTACACTTCAAGTCGAATATGTTGTTAGAGCTAAATTAAAACTCTTTAAAGGCGTCCACCTTAGCAGCAGAGGTAATAGTAGTGTATACAACCACTTTCTCAAATGAAGCACTTGATTGCTTATGTCAATGTTTCTTTTGTGGCACAACCCTTCTCCACCTATTTTTACTCCATATTCCTGTAGCGGAGGAGAGAGAGCACTCACTCAGCAAAGAAAACCATGAATAGAGTGTTTCATCTGGTAACAGAACAAACCACAATTGATGGTTAGGTACTATTTCTACATTAAATGTAATGATGTAGACATGGCATTATCTACACTAAGATAGTCAGCTTCCAGGACAGATCTTATCAGGAGGAGGTTCAGAACACAGAGGCTTTCAACAGCATTTGACGATGGCAAAGACGACAGTATGCTTTTCTCTTGCATTTCAATGCTGTATTTCTGCTCTGCCTCAGTGTTTCTGCCTTGACTCGAAGAACAAGAAGCCAGGTTGAGATGTTTTTACTTATACTCATCCCACCAGCACCTGTATCAGAAAGCTGGTAGCAT